AAAAAAAAAAAAAAAAAAAGAAAAAAGAAAAAAGAAAGAAATTGTCATCTCTGTCTCTCTGTTTTGCATTCTGGTCAAATTCCTTATTTCTCTCTTCTACTTCACTAATTCTCTTTTCAACTGTGTACTTGATCCTATCCCATCTTCTGAGCCTCTTGTCTCAGTGACTGTATTTTTCATTTCCAGGATGTGCCATTTTCATACCTAAATGTTCCTGTCTTGAATCTGCCGTTCGGTTTTTGTAATGTATTTACGTTGATGGCTGTGGTCCCTTTTTCTTATCTCTTTGGTAGATTATTTAAGAGTCTTTATTAGATTCCTCCATAAATTTAACTCTGTCTGGAATGAATTCATGTTCTGGGTATGAATTTTGTTAGTTGTTTCTTAATTGCAATGAAATTCAGATAACATAAAATCAGCCATTTAAAATTTAGTGTGCAATTTAGTGGCATTTAATACACTCAGGATGTTGTGTTCCCATAACTGTTTCTTAACATGCAAAATCCCATGCTTCTGAGTTGGGGCTTGCAGACTCGTTTTTAAAAGTTTAGTCATCGGATCAGGATATGGGAAATCAATTCTCTGAAAGTCAATTCACGAAATGACCTTGATTGGTCAGTTTGCTGAAAATCAATTCTCTAAACGACCCATTTTCCCAAGACTTCAGACAGAAACTTTAAACCTTGTCTGGGCAGTTGGCCACAGCCATTTGGCAGCACAGGCAGGAGCAGGGGCTGAAAATTCCAGCAAAATATGTGAGCCAGGGTTAAGGGCACATTCAGGAGAAAAGACGTTCAGTCAAGCTGCACCAACGCATATCAGGAAAAGTGGCCGCCACAAAACAGAAGCCTTTGGGGGCCATTTTGTTACTCACTAACTAGACCACTCTGGGAGTCGGCTCGGGTCCACCCAGTGGGAGTTGGCTCGGGTCCACCCAGGTCTGGGCAAACAGAGTTTTAGCAAATTGATCTAATTCTGAAGACAAAGAGGCAAGGAGACGTCGAGGGTGCGGTGGAATCTCGGCTTTCCACAAAATTCTGCTAACTGTGTGACCTCAGGCAAGTCGCCAAGCCTCTCTGTGCCTCAGTTTGCCCCTCGGGGTTCCTGTAAGGATTAAATGAGGTCACCTAGGTGTTGGCGGAGGTTAGTAACACTCCCAGTGGGAGAGCTCTCCAGGCTGTCCAGGGCCTGCACCACCAGCCCTCAGGGCCCCTCCTGCTCTCCTCACAAGCTGATGCCACTCTGGGCCCTAGGTTTCAGGAGAAAATGACCTCTGTAGAAGCTCCCCATGCCCAGCCCTGGGGAGGAGGCAAGCCAGGTGAGCTCTTGCAAAAGCCCCCAGGAGCACGGCTCTCTTCCCTTCCTTTTCCTTGATCGGTGGACCTATGCGGGGACATGATAGCAGCGTGTCCCCCATCCTGGCCACCACACCCTCCTGGCAGCCCCAGTCTGACAGTCCCTGCCTTTCCTTCTTTCTAGTGGCAGTGTCTCTAAAGCAGCTTCTCTTTCTCCCGTCTCTGACCTGACCCCGTCACAGGCTGCCTGAGGCCACCCTGCTATCAGCCATATTGGCATTCCCAAAGCCCACTGAACCCGATAGTACGGTGTCCACCAGGAATCAGGTGGGCACTGGAGATCCACACATAATAGGAACCAGAAGAGGGTGGGCCCTTCACCCTCCCCACCTTCTGCACCCCCAGACTGGTGGCTTGCCCCTGGGGCCTCCTCTGGGCTAGGGTCTGCCCACCAATGCTTGTTCCTGTGACAGGCAACGGCAACTCCAGATGTCCCATCACAGCTGCCCACTGGACACAGACATGGGGACACCGAGGGTGCAGGGGGCAAACTCAGCTGCATTGTGCGCAGCAGCTGCTGCCACACAACGGCAAGAGAGGAGCTCCTGCCGGGTGTGCTCGCACCACACACTTCCACCACACACACGCCGGGTTGGTGCCCCGTCTGCTGAAGGGACATGCCACCAGGCATGCTGGGTGCCACTGAGTTGCTGGTGTGTTCAGTGCCTGCTGGCTGAACCTCGGAATTGGTGGCAGTGGCTTTGCTTCATCGCCGTCTGGTTCACTGTGCTCTAAGTTCGGGCGCCCCACGAGCAGTGATGTGTGTCCATGTCTACAGCCTCGCTGGCCTGTCACGTTCCCACGTCAGGCTCTCAGCTCCAGCGTGAATCTCCCACTCCCCTACTGTCTTAGTCCATTCTGGCTGCTACAGCAAAATCCCACAGACTGGCAGCTTCTCAGCAGCAGAAACCTATTTCTCACAGTCCTGCAGGCTGGAAGTCCCAGACCAGGTGCCCGCATGGCCCAGCTCTGGCGAGGGCCCACCTGCAGCTTGCAGATAGGCATCTTCTCACTGTGTCCTCACACGTGGAAGGGGCAAGGGACCTCTCCTTCCTAAGAGCACTAATCCCAGCATGAGGGCTCTGTCCTCCAGGCCTCATCACCTCCCAAAGGCTTCACCTCCTAATGCCACTGCCTTGGCCGTGAGGATTTCCGCCTATGAGTTTTGGGGGACATGAGGGTCCAGCCCTCAGCAGCTGTTACTGTGGCCCGCAAGCCTGCCACCCTCCTGCTGTTGCCAGCCATCCACATGCACCCCAGCCCTTCCCATAGCAGGGACAGGAAGGGATTCAGATCCCACGAGGAAAGCCCTGTTCACACGTCCAGCTCAGCCCTGCATGTCCCACATCCCGCTGGGAGCTAGTGGTGTTCGTCGTAACTCAGCCCCAAGACAGCTGGCAGCACAGGTGCCAACACACGGGGAAATCTGCGTCACTCGGTGCCTGTCTCGTGTTCAGTTTCTAGGTGGCTGGTTCTACCCCGGCAATGCACAGGTTCCCGCCCTCGCAGCTGCCTCTTCTATTCCCATCGTCAGGGTGGCCAGGCCCCCACTCCTATTCTTGGTGGAGCCAGCACTTCCTGCGGGTTCTGGACAACTGGCTGAGACTGGCCTGGGTCTTCTGGGTCCTCAGGCTCAGGCCACGCCACACCCAGGCAGGGAGCTGCAGCCGCCACAACAGTACCTCCCAGCTGCCCTCTGCTGCTGCAGCCAACATCACAATGTCATGTCACAATGTCATGTCACAGCAGGTGACACACACCCCATACAGGCACAGTCCACCCAGCCCCAGTCCCATCTCACCTCTTTCTCTGTCCCTGCTCCCAGCCTATTCAGCCTGAAAACCCACCCCCTCCCTGGCAGAGTCAGCTGGCCCGGGGCCCACCAGGGGGACCAGGGGGACCGGCACTGACGCTGCACACTGCCAAGTCACCCAGCAGACATGAGGGCAGAAGAGCAGGCTGGACAGGACCACCCACTGACCTGTCCCCCTGCATCCTGGGGCTTCCACGTCCCCACCTATGCATGGGGTCTGCAGGGGCTGCACCTACAGGCTTGCTGTGAGCAGGAGTGAGCTCCGTGCGTGGTGAGGGGTCTCCACATGTTCCTGTTATTGCAGATACAGTGATAGACCCTGAATTTCAAGTGCTCCTGTCCAGCAGAAATAGGGCAAAGAGTAGGGGGTAAGGCTTCTACGAGGGGCCACCTCACCAAGCCTGAGGCTCGGGCATCAGAATCACGCTCTGTACTGGGCTCCCTGCTCCGAGGCACTCCAGGGCTTCCCACGACCCTTCCAGGTGCCCTCCTGCCAGGGGTCCAGGGGTCTCAGGTTCCCTGCCCTCGCCTATCTGGGAAGAAGCTGAGCTGATGGATCCTGCACCCCACAATACCGCTGTCTTGGGGCTTTAACACTTAAAAGACCAGCACTATCCCCACCGTTTTACTTTTTGAACCTTTCAAACACATGGCAATGTATTTAACCAGTTGTGCAGTGAAGATCCATGGGCCCCCAGACGCTCCCATTCACACCGCACTACCTTGCCTAGCCCACGTCCATCCACCTATCTTACTTCTGATGCATTTCAAAGTAAGTTATATTTCTCACAGAAAAACACAAATCTAAAGGTCCATCATTAGGCAAGACTAGTAAATAAACCACAGCATATCCATACAAGAAAATATTATGTTCCATTTAAGAGTGAGGTATGGGACTGGGTGGGTGGCTCATGCCTGTAATCCCAGCACTTTGGGAGGCTGAGGTGGGCAGATCACCAGAGGTCAGCAGCTCAAGACAAGCCTGACCAACATTGTGAAGTCCTGTCTCTACTAAAAATACAAAAACCAGACGGGCATGGTGGCATGTGCCTGTAGTCCCAGCTACTCAGGAGGCTGAGGCAGAAGAATGGCTTGAACCTGGGAGGCAGAGGTTGCAGTGAGCCAAGATGGCACCACCACACTCCAGCCTGAGTAACAGAGCAAGGCTCCATCTCAGAAAAAAAAACAATTGAGGTACGTTCCCAAGATACATGGTCAAGTGAATATAGAAAAGTACAGAACTGTGAACAGACAAAGCTACTGTCTGTGCAAACATCTACACAAAGATCCTACCTAAGCCGCAGAAAGTGGAGGTGGCAATCCCTGGGGCCAGCCTCAGCCAGGAGGGGTCCAGGTCCTCCCACAAATAACCCAACCTCCCGTCCTTCAGAGGCACAGCCCGTGGAGGTGCCTGGTAGGACTGAGCATGCTGCCCCCGTGGGACCTGCTCAGCAACTCGGCTGCACAGACTCCTCCTTTCTTCCCACCTCTCCATCCCACTGCTCCCCCGTTCCCTCGGGCTTCCCGGGTCCCCTCCAGGTAATCCACCTGCACCCAAGCCCCTGCCTGGGCTCTGCCTTCAGGGGAACCCAAACCAAGACACATCTCTTTTACATCAAATGCAGTGTGCTTTTCTGCTGAGAGACATGGAAAGGCCTCAGGGGAAACACAAGAATCTGGCGACAATGACCGCCTTTAGGGAGGCACCAGTAGGAGACACAGCAAGATGTTTACTAGTCACTCTTCCTTTGGTTGCTTCTGTGCCTTCTGAACCTTGTTCCCTGGGCATACCTAACTTACTCAAAAACTTACTCTTTCATAAAAGACATCAACTCCTAGGTGTCTGTGCGAGAGAAATGGAAACACATGTGCACCCGGTGTCGTGAACACAAATGGCCGTGAAGTGTTCAGCCACTTGATTGCCAATAGCCACAAGGTGGGCACCCCAGCATCCATCAGCTGCTGGGCAGATGCACAGTACATGCATACGACGAAACCTGGTTCAGCCATGGAAAGGAGGGAGGCTCTGACTCACACCACAGCACAGACAAGCCTCAGGACGTGCTGCTCAGCGAGAGGCCACATCTTGTCTGACTCTGCTGCTGCGAAATATTTGGAGCAGGCGCGTCCAAGGAGACGGGAGGTATGCCAGGGCTGCCAGGGCCTGGGACAGGAATAGGGTGAGCCGTGAAGGGGCACACGGGGTCTATCTGGAAGGATGCAATGTTCCGACATGTTGCGGGAAGTCAGGGATCCCGAACGGAGGGACCAGCTGAAGCCGTGGCAGAAGAACATAAATTTGAAGATTTCATGGACATTTATTAGTTCCCCAAATTAATACTTTTATGATTTCTTATGTCTATCTTTACTGCAATCTCTGAACATAAATTGTGACGATTTCATGGACACTTATCACTTCCCCAGTCAATACCCTTTTGATTTCCTATGCCTATCTTTACTTTAATCTCTTAATCCCGTCATCTTGATAAGCTGAGGGGGATGTATGTCGCCTCAGGACCCTGTGCTGATTGCATTAACTGCACAAATTGTTTGTAGAGCATGTGTGCTTGAACAATGTGAAATCTGGGTGCCTTGAAAAAAGGAACAGGATAACAGCAATGTTCAGGGAACAGGAAGACGGCCTTGGACTCTGACTGCCGGTGAGCTGGACAGAACAAAGCCATATTTCTCTTCTTTCAAAGGCAAATAGGAGAAATATCGCTGAATTATTTTTCTCAGCAAGGAACATCCCTGAGAAAGAGAATGTGCCCTGAGGGTAGGTCTATAGAAGACCCCCTTGAGGCAGCTGCCTTTTACGGTCAAAGTCGAAGGGATGAAATAAGCTCCGGTCTCCAGGCTTATTAGGAGGAGGAAATTCCCACCTAATAAACTTTGGTCAGACAGGTTGTCTGCTCTCAAACCCTGTCTCCTAATAAGATGTTATCAATGACAATGCGTGCCCGAAACTTCATTAGCAATTTTAATTTCGCCCCATCCTGTGGTGCTGTGATCTCCCCTGCCTCCACTTGCCTTGTGGTATTTTATTACCCTGTGAAGCATGTGATCTCTGTGACCCACACCCTATTCATGCACTCCCTCCCCTTTTGAAAATCGCTAATAAAAACTTGCTGGTTTTATGACTCGAGGAGCATCACGGAACCTGCTGACATGTCATGTCTCCCCTGGACACCCAGCTTTAAAATTTCTCTCTCCTGTACTCTTTCCATTTATTTCTCAGACCAGCCCAGATGCTTAGAGAATAGAAAATAACCCACGTTAACCATTGGGGGCGGGTTCTCCCAATACCGACGGTGGATCGTGCTGGTGGCTGCATGATGCGGTGACAACCACTAAATCATACACCTGAGACAGGTGACTTGTGTAGCATGCAAATTCCACCTCAATAAAGTTTTTTAAAAACAACAACAAAAAGGTGACTGACACCTCAGAACCTCCAAGTGGGGGCAGCGGTGGGCACTGCCTGCTCCTGCTGGTGGGAACTGGGTGGGGTGAGCCCCCGCCAGGAGTCTTCCCGGGCAGGCTTGGCTGCCAATGCCTGGACACAGCTATCTGGGTGACTGGGCTCCATGACATTTGCCTAGGACACAGCAGGGGAGCCGCAGCACGCCCCTTTCTCAATCTCATTTCTGCGACTCAAACAAGAAAACCTTAAACAAATAAACTAACAAAAAGGGTGACACACGGAGCTCCTGGCTGGGGTGCAGGGCTGTCTTGAGCCCCCCAAGAATCTCTGTGCAGACAGGCTCTTGGCCGTGCGGGCCCCCACACCACTGCCCAATCCTCCTTCTGATGGGCTGTGACCCAGGGACACTTCTGCAGGCATCGTCCTGCATGGGTGGAGACAGGAGGGCTGAGGCCGGGCCAGGCAGCATCCTGTACACTCAGGAAGACCCCATGACTTCGCAGGGGGTGGCAAGGACCCAGGAAATGTCCACCCCCCTTTTTATTGACAACACTGAGGAGCCCTCAAGTCCTGGCCTTTACCCCACCTCCCCGACACGCCCATTCCTCCCTGTGGTAGGTAGGCCATTCCTGCATTGCTATAAAGAAACTGAGACTGGGTAATTTATAAAGAAAAGGGGTTTGACTGGCTCAGTTTCTGTAGGCTACACAGGAAGCATGGCACTGGCATCTGCTTGGCTTCCAATGAGGCCTCAGGAAGCTTCCAATCATGTCAGAAGACACAGGAGGAGCCCATGTGTTGCACAGCAAGAGTGGGAGGGCAGGTGGTGGGGGGAAGATGCCACAGACTGATTCCCAGCTCTCTCGAGAGCTCACTATCACAAGGACAGCACCAAGCCAGAAGGGAGCCATCCCTATGACCCAGCTCCTCCCACCAGGCCCTACCTCCAGCACTGGGGACTACATCCCCACATGAGACTGGAGCGGGACATCCAAGCTATATCACCCTTTCAGCAGGGAGGAGCAGAGGCTCCCCACTGTGTGCTGCTCAGAGCAGCCAGAGACCAATATCAAACGAAAAGAAGGAGAAACAGAGCCAGCACAAGGCAGGACCAGCCCTGTGTTCAACACAGCCCTATAGCTCTGTAACGTTTCAGTTATTAAAGTGAATGCAACCAGGCACAGTGGCTCACAACTGTTATCCCAGGACTTTGGGAGGCCGCGGCGGGCAGATCACCTGAGGTCAGGAGTTCGAGACCAGCCTGGCTAACATGGCAACACCCCAACTCTACTAAAAAAAAAATACAAAAATTAGCTGGGTGTGGTGGTGCATGCCTGTAATCCCAGCTACTCAGGAGGCTGAGGCAGGAGAATCACTTGAACCTTGGAGGTGCAGGTTGCAGTGAGTCGAGATCACGCCATTGCACTCCAGTCTGAGTGAGAGTGAATGAGACTCTGTCTCAAAAATAAAAATTAAAATTAAAAATAATAAAGTTAATGTAAGAATAAGAGGAACTTTGAAAAGCAGTTTTCTTATCATTTAAGGCTTATCGGTGTAACTACATCTCCTCAAATCATCAGAACCATAATCAATGATTTAGGGTGAGTGATTCTTCCAAACACCTTAAACTTCTTGAAAGCAAACAAAACACACAAACATATAAAATGGGTTCCACACTTATTTTATGTCAGGGTTTATGTTATTTATTTGTTTCCATGCTTGTGTAAACCATCTTAGCTTATAACACTGCCTATTTTGAGAGCTTCCTGGAGTTTAAGTAATATTACGTTGATACTTTGCTGGGGTTACAGAAGCCCTTTGTGACCCAAAGGAAAAATGTTACCTTTTCAGCCTAATGGTGATTATAGGATGAATAATCCACCTATTGGCTGATTTTTAACTTAAAAACATCTTTTTGAGACAGGCGTCACTCTGTCACCCAGGCTGGAGTGCAATGGCCCGATCCTGGCTCACCGCAACTTCAAGCTCCTGGACTCAAGCAATCTTCCTGCCCCAGCCTCTCGAGTGGCTGAGACTACAGGCATGTCCTACCGCACCTGGCTAATTTTTTTTTTCATAGAGATAGGGTCTTGGCTCTATTGCCCAGGCTGGTCGCAAACTCCTGGCCTCCAGTGATCTTCCCGCCTCAGTCTCCCAAAGTGCTGGATCACAGGCAGGAGCCACAGGGCCCGGCCAATTTTTAACTTTTTATTAGGAAATTGCCAAATACATACCAACGGAAAGCAAAGTATACTAAACACTCTGTACCTGCCAGCCCTGCTGCCCTCATCACAGTGGCTAGTGACCAGTGACCTCTCATCTGCACCCCATGGCACCCTGAGCCCCATCCCCACGCCAGCACCACTGGCATATTTTTAAGTAAATCTCTCATTTCACCACCAACAGTGCAGTAGAATCTCTAAATGACAGCTCTTTCTAAAAAATAATCACGATCCCATTATCACACCCAAAAGTAAGTAATACCTTCAAACCACCAAAGTTCCCAATGGCCTCATCAATGCTTTTGGCAGCCTCTGTTTGGTTGGCTTATGACAACAGGGTCCAGACAAGGTCTGCGTGCTGTGTTTGGCGACGAGAGCTCATCTTTTTTTGATCAATAGACGAGATTCCTTCTCCTTCTCCTCCTTTCATTGATTTGTTGAGGACAGGACACCAGGTTGTTGCCGGGTCTCATGGCCTCTGCGTGGCTGGGTGCAGTTCAGCACATTCCCCCCTGTGCTGGTACACCAGTGCTTAGAACTGGAGGCTGACCTCATTCAGGCTGGTCCCAGTTGGGCCGTGCGATTCTCAGCATGTCCCATCCAAAGGCGCACGGGGTCTGGTTGGCCCTGTCCTTCTGATTAGATCGATTGGGGTCCATCTATGGCCAACCTGCCCCACACTGTGAACGCCCCCATCGGCCTTTCGCCTCCTAATTTCCACAGCCATTGAGGACCAATGCCCACATCTGAGATTTCACTGAAGTTGCAAAATGGCAATATTTTAATTCATTCTTCATTTATTAGCTATTTTTTTTTTTTTTTTTTTTTGAGACGGCGTCTGGCTCTGTCACCCATGCTGGAGTGCAGTGGCGCAATCTTGGCTCACTGCAAGCTCCACCTCCCAGGTTCATGTCATTCTCCTGCCTCAGCCTCCCGAATAGCTGAACTACAGGCGCCACCACCACGGCTAATTTTTTGTATTTTTAGTAGAGACGGGGTTTCACTGTGTTAGCCAGGATGGTCTTGATCTCCTGACCTTGTGATCCTCCCACCTCGGCCTCCCAAAGTGCTGCGATTACAGGCGTGAGTCACCGTGCCCGACCTATTAGCTAACTTTCTATAAAGAACTTTCCGTCATCAACTCTTTGTTTGCCAGGACAGCAGGATACATAATTGATTCTGTCCCTTTATGAGTTCTCAGAATAAGGTGGTCCCCTAACTCTTTCAAGGTGAAGGAGTTATTAATCACCTTTTAAAAAATACCCATGATGGCAAGCAGCAGCGCAGGCCACGCAGCAGAAGGCTAGGTGGCTTGGGTGTGCGGAGGCCACAGCCATGGAGGGAGTCCAGGGAGGAAACCGCACCATGGAGACCTGAATGAAGCCAGGGCCTGAGCCTGGCAGGAAAGGGGACGTCACGTGCCAAGGTCCCGAGGCAGGGGGACCTGAAGATGGACGTGTGGGACAGGTTACTTGGCACAGCAATGGAGGTGGCTGGAGCCTGCAGGACAGTCACACGGGCAGAGAAGACACTCGGGGCTCTCGTCTTGGCTCCCGCTCTGCCTGCGCTGGAGCTGCAGCTGCTGCCTGGGGCACAGAGAATTCGAGGGAGAGGCTTTCCCGGCAAGTCCAGGGGAGTGAGAGACACACAAGTGAAGGGCCCTTCGACTGGTGATGAACAGGACAGCCGTGCAACCTGAACCGGAGAAGAGGGAAGGGAGGGCCAGGGAAACAGCACTCCAGGGCCATGGGAAACCAGCAGGCGTTGTGGCTGAACAAACACCATGAAGGGGCTGCTGAGGAGCCCAGCCAAGGCAGTCAGGCTGGCCTGACAGTTCGGGAGGGCCTCACGGGCAGCTCTGAGGCAGGGGCAATGTGTGGTGGCAGCTTCGTGGTCCCTGAGGGGCAGTGCCATCTCCCCAGGGCTGCAAGCCAGGGCTTCCCTGTGCCCCCTACTGTTGCCCCTTCTGTTCCCCTAGCCCTTCTGATGAGTCAGCTGGTGCCAGGTAGGAGGGGGGATAATTTACAACCAACATTTGCATTTTAACAAGAACTTCCTTGAGACAATTTCCTAAAGCAAAAGAGCGACTGTGGCGTTAACAATAGCCACCATGTAGGCATCACCTCCTTAGTCCCACTGCCAGCCTGAGCCACTGTTTTCCCCTTTCGTGGAAGAGGAAACCGAGGCTGAAGGTTGAGCAGCACGCCCAAGATTCCACATGGGGGCAGTCGGAGCCCAGACACCCTCCTCCAGCGTCTGCCACACTCTGGGGGACCTCACCAATCCCCACTGCCACCCCTACCCACTGTGGCCTGGCCCTTGGGTGGCAGTGTCTCTGGCTCAAAGAGAAGGCAGGGTCAGCAGCATAGCTGGATAAACCGACCATCAGCAGAGACCCTGGGCCTCCTTAGCCATCACCTAAGGGAGGCTCCTCCGGATGGGACGAGCTGGCCTGGCGGCTCTTGCCAGGGCTGCAGGGAACAGGATGCTCCCTCTCAGAAGCCGACTCAGCTCTGCCACGCGACTCAGCTCTGCCACGTGACTCAGCTCTGCCACGCGGCTCAGCTCTGCCACAGGGCACAGGACAGACTGCCCCGAGATGCCGCAATGCTCCTCCTGGTCCTCCAGTTATGCGGCCTCCCCCTGGATGTTTCTAACAGTACACGTGTGCTTGTTTCTGGGGCTGCCCCTGAGTGGGAGCCTGGGAAGGACTGGCCGTCCGCAGGGCCCTCGGTCTCCGCCCCAGCCAGTGGTAAAGTGTGGCTGTAGCTGTGCTACCACCTCCAGGTGAGGGGCCGGCTGCAGGTGGTCCTTTGTGTGATGGGCTGTCTGGGGAGGCCCTGCTGCCCATGGGTGCTATAGATTTGCAGTGCAGGGGCCCAGGGTGACCCTGGAGGAAGGACGTCCTGTGAGCCTTGAGCCTGTGCAGCAGGCCAGGTCAGAACCACATACTGGAAATCCCCTTCAGCTAAGCCGGTCTGTCCCCTAACACCATCCCCCTGACCAAGACTTCCTGACGCCCTGAGGGTGCATCTGCCTTCCAAGGCGAATATCTCACACCAACTCTGCAGCCAGCAAGTTCGCGCTGAAAGCTGGAAGCCCGCTGGTGGGGGAGCAGACCAGGACTCCTCACACCCGAAGAGCAACTGCTAGACACTCCCTAGCACACCCCGTGCCTGTCTGACCCCATCAAGCCTGACTGTGATCGCGGAGTGTGGCTTTCTGAGCCCCTAAGGAAAACCTCCAGCGTGACCCCTGCACTTTGTAAAGGACAAGAAGGCCTGTGGGTGGAGACAGAGGAGGGGTTTCTGCTGGGTCCTGCCTGGAGAACAGGTCTGACGCTGAAGGACCCCTCGGGCTGTCCTGGGTCACAGTGAGGTCAGAGTGAGGGGGCCACACAAGCCCTCAGGACCCACCGGGCAAGTCCATGGCGAGTCCAGACCCATGATGGTGGGCACCGTGAGCCTTGTGGTCCACAGGGTCAGGCTGGTACACGCTGTGTTCTCACCCAGAAAGGCCGTTCCAGCTCCTTCTGGGCTCCTCCTCCTCCTCCCCAGCCTTCTCTGTCTCTCCGCCCACCCCGCTCTCTGTCTCCCTCACACACGGAGTACAGAATTGTGGGGAGATGACTCTGTATTTCCTCATCTGTGTTTATCACAGTGACTCACCCATCCGCGGCTGCTGGGTGACTGGCAGGTTTGTGCTGAGCTTCCGAGTGAGGTTGCTTTGGAAGAGGAAGGCATGACCACCCAGCGATTAGCAGAATGTCCGGCGTGGGCAGCGCCACCCAGCTGTCGACACTGACACCCAGGCTATCCTGACAGGTGGCCGCAGGCGGATGTGTGTGCACGCGGAGTTTCTCAGGACTCAACCTTCTTAA